GAGTTTTAGTGCATTATAAGTTTTCCCAGTGGTGGTCTAGTGGTTAAAGGCCCGCCTCTCGTGCACGAGGTCGCGGGTCCGATCCTGGCAAGTACCAATGTGATTTTCCGGGTCATATGTTTTGTTGTATTTAATTTCAATTTCTTTTTTTCTATATTTAGTTTCAAACTTTCTATATTAATTTCTCATTAAGTTTACGAAAGTCAAAATTTTTCAAGTGAGGTTTCGAAAAAATAGTAAATTAATGTATGATATAATTTACGAATGTTTTTATGTTTAAGCAGATGCATGTCTTAGTTCAAGACCATTTTTTCAACACATTTTCCTTAGTAGTTCGTCTAAAGCTTTATACATATATACTAATGCCTTAATTTTAATAACTCCTTGAAATGGTTGGCATCTTCTCTCATAGACATAAAATTTATTTTACAATAATATAATATTAATATTTTATCATTAAAATAAGGTTTTAACACGTATAAATAGAATAAATACTGTGGGAATATATTTCAATTGTTAAAAAAGACAATAGTTTAATATGAATGAGAGGCTTAAATACAAAACATGTTTAATATCTGTTTATTATGTTCCAGTTGTTTTGTTTGTATAATATACCACATATTTAATTATCATTTTATTGCTAAAGAGTTTATGTTCGAAATTGTTATATCTTATATATATAAAATTCTCGTGTAGCGGTGTTATACAGAGAACTCCTTCGTAACGGTTTCATCGATTTTGATGAAATTTTGTGAGCATATTGAGTAGCTCTGAGAATCCTCTGCTTGAGCTCTGAGAAGCCATAAGGGTTGTTCACCCTTAATTTTTTTTATTTTCGAAAGAAATTTTTTGTTTTTATTTTTTTTTTATAATGTAGTATTAAATAAAACATACAACACCTACTTCATATGGCAAAACAACATTTTCCAGGTCAGCTAGTATATTACAAAAATCTTGAAGAAATACAAAGTCATTCTAAACTAGAAACTACAAAAATAGTCTTGAAAAGATTCTCAATCATCCAGGCATTATCTTAATCTATCTAACTCAACTTTCTAAACACTAAAACAGTGAAGTCATTCTTATCTATATTTAATTTAACTTACAAAACTTATACACTGTTTAATCCATTGTTTTACTTTTATAAGATACGGTTTCATTAATTTTATTATTACATCATCATTATCATCAGTCAGAGACCACTGCTGAGCAAAGGCCTCTTCTCAAATGGAGAAGGTTTGAGCATTAATCACCACGCTTGCTCAAGACCGGTTGGTGATTTCAAACTTATAATTGGAAATCATAAGTCCATGTTTTCTCACGACATTTTCCTTTATCTGTCAGCGGTATCTAAATACTCTTAGAGAGTACATATGACTCGGAACAATCACATTAGTACTTGCCAGCTTTCGAACCTGGGCCCTCATGCATGAGAGGCGGGGTTTTAACCTCTAGGCCACCACGACTTTCATTATTACGGTCTCTTTAATTTGTTAATTTATTAATTGCATAAATAACAAATATTTACAGAAGCGAAACGTAACGGAAAAAATCACCAGACTTGATCCATAAAACGTGAAAACCAAAATAACTAACGAACAATGCAATTTTAGATATCTGAAGGAAAAAAAAATGTAGTTCTTAACACGATATACATTTGTCTAAAATATATATGAATAATGAAAAAAACTACTATGGCAGACCCTGGCTTAAGCTGGGAAATTGCCAGGAAGAAGAAGAATGAAAAAAACTACTTGTATTTATGATTTGTATAAGATGCAAATCTTCCTTATTCATGGTTTTTGTGATTCTGAAACCGACTACTTTTTTAGACTTTGAATTTTTTCCTCTCCCCGCGACTAGCATGAATAATAGATGGTACTGAGTGCAATTCTTGTTTGTATTATTTTTTAATGGAGCTTAAAAATGTTGAGGTTTTCAAATAGGTATATATATTTTTCAGAATAACATATTTTGTTTTATATTAAAACTTAATAAAAATAATCAAATATTGGGGATCGCTAAAATATTCCTTTTATAACTTCAAATAATACCATTGTGAATAGAAAATACTGATTTTCATTTGTATCAAAGGTTTTTTCAAAGTAAACAAAATGTCTTATTTGTTATTTGTTATAAATAGTATTGAATAAAATACTGTTAATTATTAGCGAGAGAAAGCTTCTTGGAATGCAACTATACATAGTAATGCTTTCTACAAACTCACTAAGTTTATAAATAACATTAAGATCTTCCCAGAAGGATTTATTTACATACTCAATACGTAATATATTTTTCAAATTAGTAATATATACAGTATAGCTGACCGGGCGAACTCTATTCCCCCCTAGAGGTTTTAAATAACCAAGAATTGCAATTTTAAGTTTTTTCTTTTTACATCAAACAGAAACATCCTATTTATGTCTATATATAAAATATACTATTAATATTCGTATCCTATGTCAGTCTCCTGGTTCTAATCTATATCTCCACCAATTGTCAACCATATCCCTACAGCCGTTCTTAAGTTATCAATAATGTAATTAAACCAACTTCCTTTTATGTGTATACTTAACGTTTTTTTAATGAGACTTATATAAAGTAAATATATACATATTTAACAGATATTATCGAAATAATTCGTGTGTTACGCAACCGTTTAATGTTTTTTTTTTTCCCAGTAATAAAAATCTTTAAACACTATATATGTATAAGTGCACAAGTGAAGACTTACATAGAAGCGCCACATTTATGTAAATACAAGATTTGAAATCTAATTTTAAGATTTTCTTTTCTTAATCTGATCTGATTTCGATTATCATCATCAGTAAATGAATATTTATTAAAGATTTGGAATAAATTAAGAATATGTGCTTTAGCAAAATTCATTTATTTCATATAATATTCAACTTATGTTCCCAAGTGACTAACATAGACAAATTGCAACTCACCTTTGCCAAAATCCAAGTTCATGAAAACTATGGCGATGTTTCTTTAAAGAGTTGAACATTATTTTGACATTATACTCAGAAGGAAGAAATAATTTAAAGATTTATTACCTTTAACCTTTACTAATATCCATAGTAAAGAACCCAAGAATAATAAGAATTGAAAAAGTATGTTATATAGCGTCATTAAATAGAAGTATTTGAATGACGCTAAGAAGACAAATAAAAAACCGCTCTATTGTCTCCACCCCCCGAGTTAACTCTCGACTCCAAGGCGCCTCTTAAAAGGGATGTGCACGCTTCATATCGATAATATCTGACTCCACATTTTATTATAGTAATTAGAAATATAAAAGAAATGTTCTGAGCAATCATTTTTATCGATTTATAAGACATTTCAGTAAAATATTTAATAAATGTATTACAATTCTTTTATATTTTTATGTAGCAGGAAATTTTTACATCTCTACGATCGTTAAAAATTTTATACAAATGATATACTTTCGTAGATCCAATAGGCCACTTCTCTCTCGAATTTGAGAGCTGTTTCATGTTCTCGACTACACTCTGGAGATCCGTAAGAAGATGTCTTATTAGGTGCATATATTTTTATAATACACAGGTTTAAATCTCATAATCTATACGTAGTAAAAAAAAATAAAGTGTCCGTTTGAAATTTAAGTTGACAGTCTTTACATACTTTATGTATGATGTCTAAATTAAAACTGCAATTCTTAACCTTATTGACTGTCTGTCTGCGTTTTCTCGTTAACTTCTAGAAGTCTAGATCGATTTTGATGGGGATTTAAATAGAAGATAGGCAAGGAGAAATGAATAAGTTCTCAATTCAGCCAAATAGTGGTTACGCCATGATGTCTCAATTAAAATTAAATAATTTTTTTTTTTTTTTCTTATGAGCTAGTCGTATATTCACCAAGTTAGGAACTGATTAAGGAGTCTTGATGATGGTATCGTGTAATTCAGAGGTGGTTTAATATGAAAGCAAACCCGTAGACAACAGTTAGTTAAATATGTAATTATTAAAATTTATTTCACCATAAAATCATAATATTTTTCATTTCATTCGCTCAACCCCTTGTCTAACGTGTGGGAAAGCCTTTATAAAATAAATATATTTTATTTTTATTGTATGTATTTAATTTCTTTAATAATATAATTTTATATACAACTATTCCTAACTTCGCTCGGATCTGTTTGGTTGAGACAGTAATATAACAGTGATTTTTGTTAACTACAGGAATAATATACCTTACTGTTAAATAAAAGTAAAGCAACTAATTTTAAACTTTAGACGGTTCAGTCCATTCGAACACAAAAACTTCTAACTCCCGGTGGCGACACACAGTCTTACTGTAAAGCATACATATATAACCATAGTTGTTTTAAATAAGTTTTATTATATTCTAGTTTTAAACCGTGACTTCGTCTGAGTTAGATTCAGAATTAGAAATGTATAGACCGGGCGAACTCTTTTCCTACATAAATGCAGTAGAAAGGAATATTTAGGATTTGTTCAACTAGTTTTTTTTTCTTTTTCAATTGGATGAAAAGTGCACTATATCTTCTCTCTGGTTCTAAGCTATCTGTCCATCAATTTTCAACATAACCCGTCAAGCCATTCCTGAGTTATAAATAGTGTAACTAACACAACATTTTTTTATATAAGATAAAAAATATTTACTCATATCAACTTCGTATAATACAAATAAATGAAAAACATATTCCGTCACAAAAATCATTTCATTAATAAAATGAAAAACGTAATAAGAATTCGTAGTGAATCGAAAAATTCATCAATTCTGTTTTACAGTTTCAAAGTACACTGCCAGCTGTAATATTTGCTTTGCCTTTATATTTTTTAATTATAAAATCCACGTGCATTTTTTTAGCGGAGCTCAATTTCTATTTGTACGTATATAATATATTTCATATATTTTATTTTTGTTACAGAATACGCAGGAATATATTGGCATATTGGATATATAAGATGTAGATACATTGAAGGATATGAGGGTTAATAAATGAATAGCCATGAAGCTTAGTGTGAGTGCGTATCGAGCGCATGCTGCTGCGCACAAGAAAATACTGACTTCATCGTATCAGCAGCACTACGGAAGCACTGCTGCTCCATCCTGCAACCCGCTTCAGCCTTCTAGCTTCACACCGCAAGTAAGTTTACTTGTACTAAATAAGCTGTAGAATACGTATTTTTAATGGCCATGGCACTGCATTTAATGCCTCAATATCAACAAACTTGTCAATTAAAGTAGGTAAAAATAGATTTAGTTGTTTTGAAATCAAATATATTAAATTATGAGAGCAGTTTAAATAATTTTACTCATTGATATTTCTAAATACCAAAAGAATTTTATAATGTTGTTTACTAATAATTAATATTCAAAAATACAAGCCCATAGAGCAATTACGATCTAAAAAATGAAAGATTTCAATTACCTGTAGTAAATTCATATACATAATAAAATTTTTCTTAACCTGTACCTGTAGATTATAAAATGGAAAAGCATCTTACCTAAACGTAATAGTGGCTGGAAAATGATATAATATTTGTCATAAAAATCTTTTGTAGTATAAGAGGAAGCGGTATAAATTTAACTTTGAACATAATCTCAGCTATCTCATAAAGGTTTTGGCTTAAGACTGTACGTAGCAGATTGGGATGCAACATGTAATAAAACGTTGTATAAAGCTCGCCTCTTTAACCCAATATAAAAATCCACTAGTTGTATTCGTATAAAAGTTTCTCGGAACGTGAAAAGCAAATCAAATATCGGATCAATTCAAACTTTTATATTACCAGTCAATTCTCGGTTCTTACGCGATTTAAAGTTACCTAATAGTTTTGAAAGTCTATATGAAATTGTTCGTATTTCGATCCATCATAGGAATCTATATATCATCGAAAATAGAAATAGATTTTGGTTGATGTTCTTGGGTGTAAATGTAAATAAATAATTATAAATACAAAGTTCGACAGTCGTATTGTAGTAAGTTGCTGAAAGTGCTTGTAAAGAATGTGGACCCGTAACTTATTGAATATAAAATTGATCTCAGCAATTAGACTGGCTTTACAAAGACAGATTCGACTTAATCTTCTTAATATTTCATATCTAATCTATCTATAGTTAATATTTCTATTTGATCCACCCTCGAGATCCACGTTCACGGAATGGCAGAGAATTTACGATCGTACCATACGCGCCAACAGATTTAGAACCATTACCTTAGTATTACGAGTTAGTGGCTATTGACCGCCCACCTTTTATTACGCCACATGATAGCCACAACTTGACTTGGAATTTTCATTTAGTAATCTTGCTCAGTATCGACTTTATATCGAAACTTAAAGTAACTTATTTAAACTATGACGAGTTTAGATGAAAACAAACGATTACACCTTAATTATGTTAGGGAGGCAATCGGAGGTTCCAGGAAAACTACAAAACTTACTTATACGTATATTATAATGAGAATAACGTATTTAAAAATTATAACCTACATCTAAGACTACATGATTGCCCCGATGTTAGAATGACAATACCATTCCATAGCTTGTGTGTATCAGGAATCTTCTGGTTCACACCGCATGGTGATCTTTCCGCGGAGTCAGCGGCGTCACTCGTCATGATATTTTATCCATACAACAATATCACCCGGGCGATGTTCACTTAGTTTTTAATATGTGAAGCGTACAAATAAATATTTAATCCGTATATTACTGCAAGAGAAGTAGATTTATATATCTCGTATATCTCAGCTTATTATCCTGCGATAGATTTCGTTCGAAGGAGAGCCATTGTGCCCTCATAAGTATGAATGTTATTTGAATAATTCATGTTCATAGAGCATCATTACTTTGAACACTTCATCAATATTCCGGGTTGTATTCTTTGTACTATTTTTACATTTATGCATTAATTTCTTTCCTTTATGATCGTTTTATTTAAAGAAATAGATCTTCTTATCTATGTATTATTTTAATGGTTATGTAACGTTTATAATTTAGGTAATTATTGAAAATATATATTATAAACGGTTGGGGGAGCGCAAATCTAAGTAAAGTTACTAAAACAATAATAACAAAATGTATATGCTTGATATGTGACGAGTACTGAACGTTTTTACGAATATTACTTAAGAAAGAAATCTTGAGAATAGAAATACCTATGTGTAGTGCTTTTTCTTTTTAATGTCTTATAATAAAGGAATTATAACTATCTATAGTTAAACTGTAAAAAACTGCTTAGATCAAAATTAAATTAAAAAAAATAAGAATATTTAAAATACAATTAAACTTTAAATATTTTTTTCCTTCATCTGAGAGTATACCCGTTTGGATGGGTTCGGATGGGTAATCTGTGGGTAAGCTATTTAATTATGGCCAAACAAATCCAGCTTTTTCTTGAAAAAATCATGTTTAGCTGTACTAAGAGGTTTAAAAGTATAAAAAGTAAGAGTGACTACATACATTAATATATATTGTTGCTTAAGTTTATTTCCTATATGTATATTATCCTTTACAAATATCCCGAACATGTTCTTCTAGACTAGTCTGATCAATGGAAATGATTGTATCTATGTATTAATAAATATCTTAAAAGTATGAATGCTTGGACATTATTGACAACACTAATAATACGAGGTCTGAACTATGTATTTTATTAATTATATAGTATTATTTAAAAAAAATATAAAGAAATTATACATTTTAGTACAAAATAAAATCCTTATTCGAGAAGAATAAACAGTCTTCTGGCTATATTAGTAGTGTTTATTTTGTTTAATAATAATGGAAACTAATATTGTGGCCGTGGAAAGAACCTAATATAATCAGCAATTCTTGATACCTCTAAAGAATTTAAATACAATTGTTAAGACTTATAAAAACTTGGTTAGAATTCCACACTCACTACGTAACAGTTACATAAGATATATAAATAGAAAATTAATAGAAGCATCAATCTATCATATGAAAGATCAAATTTATTTATTCGTATTATTTATATACATTTGATAGTTAATAAATTCATTTTGAGTACCATATAAGGTCCGCCTGTGAATATTTTGTGAACCACAAAGTAACCGGAGAATCAGTTGGCAACTGAAATGAATCATAAAAAATGGTTTATTAAAACAAACGCGTTTCATATTTCTGATATAAAATGGTTATATTATTATCACAAATCAAATCAAAAATTTACAATTTAAATAATAATATCATAATTACTATAATTTGGTAGAATTTAATAAAATATATGTAGATTTGGTAAATAGATAGTCCAAATTGAGATCATAAGCAAATAACTTTACGTCGATTGCTCAACAAATTTATGTATTTAATTAAATAATACATCTAAAGAAAAATCACAAAATTTTTACTGTTTAGACATAACTATTATCAATATTATTTTTAAGTTTTTTTCTAATATTAAAGTCAATACGTGGAATATATGACATTAATTTTTTTTACAAAAACGTTTCTTCATATTTTAGTTTTTAAACATTAGACTTATTTTGTTTCTGATGAAAGACAAAATAAAAAAAATAGTATTTGATATAGTTTTTAATAAATGTCGATTCCCAAACTTTTGTAAATACAAATATTTTTATAATTTAAGGACAAAATTAAATTATAAATATACTATATATGTATTCCATACTAATTACTACTAATATACTACATATTACTAATATGTATTCTATATTTTTTCTTTATTTTTCTAGATTTTCATCGTATTTTTACTGTGGAATTTTAAGATAAAACAAATGATCATTTTACATGTTTCTCTCAATACGTTATTATACATAACATACCATAATTTGGCTCAAAATAAAAATTCTTTCTGTCAATCGCATTGCAGTTAAAATAAATTAACCTGAACGTTTAAACAGTGTTTTAATTAACAGTATTCGTCGTCAGATAAAATCGAGTTTTATGTGTGATAATTTCAGTAAATTCTATGAATTACATTAATATGTATTTTTGACGAATTAAATTGTTTAAGGTGTTAAAGGTGTCATATCTACATACTATTTTACTAGTGCTGTCTTCTCTGACTTTTCCTGTGTATTATCGGAACACGTCTGCTTGAGGTCTTCTTCTATCTGGCAATTTCCCAGCTTTAGCCAGAGTCTGCCTTACATGTTGTGAATAGTTTTGGCTAATTGTTTATACGACCGGCCGCCTGCCTAAGATCAACCCTCTTTAGGAATGCCTTAATCAGTGATGTCTAAATACTCTTAGAAAGTACATATGACTCAGAAAAATCACATTTGTACTTGCCAGGATCGAACCCGCGCCCTCGTGCATGAGAGGCGGGCCTTTTAACCACTAGCCACCACTGACTTGTGGTATTGTTTAAAAAAAAATGGGTCATGTCTCGTCAATACGAAATCATCAGAAAATATAGTACATTTATACTCACTCAGATTTTAAATCTTCCATAATTTATATGTAAAATATATTGCAGATTGCGCTTAAAGGAAAAATATTTATTATTGAGAATCACAAACAAAGCTACATAAACCCATACCACATCTTGGATGGGTGCCAACTTAGAAAACTGCCAAGCACGGCTCCAGATAATGCCCCCCTACAACACTTCATATCTCAGTTTTTGTTGAAGTCACTTTAAAACGTTGAATGCTATTGCTTCTGTAACTTTTAATTAATTCATTTAAATTGTTAATAATTCTTTCATTATAAACATAATCATACAGGGTAAGTCTCCTATAAATACTAAAATGGTATAACGATATGTCTCGTCTAAATGAAGACGTTAGTCTTATTATCTTCCTAACTTTTATTCCTCTGGTATTCAAATAATAAAATTTTAATTAATTAACTTTATGTGTGATTTCTTAAAACTGATTTTCATTAATTAAATTTATTTTATAACAGTTGTAATTGTTTAAAAGACGATATAAATTGAAGTCGGATACAAATTATAATTAAAATAATCCTTTAGTTTAAGATGACGGGGTAAATCTCTCTGTCTGTAACGTCAAACTAACTCGTTGCAGTACGTTAAGGTATAGACAAAGGAAATTTGAAAAGCTATCTGTATTACACTAACGATATTCAGCTCACATCAAAACCTAAATCTCTTCAGGTTTTAAAGAGAATATGAAATGTTTATCAAAACCGTTATTCTCGTAGAGCTGTTCTTACTTTTAACAAAATATTATTACATCTCCTGCGTTTATACGAAAATGATTTGATAAAAAAATTTAAAAGAAACTTCATAAAAGATAGTACTATATATAGTAACTTTAGAAGTCGTGATTTTTATTTAAGGCGGTAAGAAGTTAGTATCACAAGTTCATATTGTATATAGATATATATATACTGAAGGCTTTATTAATGAGATGCGTTAGACACAACAGACAAAGGTTCCATCTCAAGTAATTGATAATACCTTTGTTACAAACAGATCGTGATATCCCATTACAATTAACCTGGTAGTTGAATTAAGACAATATATCTTTTATCTCATATATCTTTTAATAAAAGATAGTACCGTATCTATTCATCTGTTACAATGTAAGTATAAATTTAATTTTACACAAGACCTTTTTTTCTCACGCTGTGTACTCTGCCCTATGTAAAGAATATATTTGAATAGGCGAGATAGGACGTTGGGTGTTATGATTGAGTTTTGAATGAAATCTAGAATTGTACTGCAATTGAACAATTCTGTACCGCCTGTCTACGTTCAAGTAGAGCGTTCAACATTATAAATCCCACAGCGACGCTGTTACCGACTGTTACATGTGTAATTGCATAGTTTAAATACAAACGAACTGCTTCGGAAAGTCTATTAACATTGTTCAAATTAAATTCAAAACCTACACAATTACAAAGCCGATAAAAGCCGCTAAAAGCCAGATAAAGGAAAGTAACAAATTGCATGGAACGCCTTTGTTAAACTAAATGAGATTTTAGATGGAAAAAGCCGGACTGCGTGGAAAATCCCATATTGGCTTACGTCCCATTTAAAACTTACTATAAACATTATACATTTGTATCATTATTTAAACAATACAAGTTTTTATCTAGTACCACTGTGTTTTGTAAACCGTTTTCGGCTTTTCACATTCAAATCTACATGGAGAGTTGTGTAAATTCTGTCGACTATATTATAATCTTGGTCATATGAATATTTAACAGCGATGATCTTATGACATAAAAAATCTGCCGACGTTGAGAACTGAGAATTAAAACGTAGCTTGAATATGGAAGGGGCTTCATTTTCTTGAAACCAGGTCACCGTTATCCCTAATAAGGTACATAGTGTACCGAATGTAGATCATTAGAGTAATAATCTCATATGAATTTCTTAGCTCATGAACATTTTAATTTACCGAAGTGCGCCAACACGAAGTTGTTACAAAGTGAATGCACGAGTGTTTTAAAGCGCTTGCTTCAGAATAGAAAATATTTCTGTTAAAGAACTTAAAAGCTTGTTTTCATATTATGACTTTAAAATATTCAGTGGACCTTTTGTCGCCTCCGCGTTTCAGATTTTCGAATGTGAATATTTATGAAGATTTATATTTTAATGGTGTTTTAGATGACCTACTTTAATATTACATTTCCGTATTACAACTCTTATTGCGATATTAAGTTAAAATTGATATTTTTGACTAACTCAGAAGATCTGCAATAAAAAGTATTGTCATGAAATTATTTATTTTGAAACCACTCAAGTAATAGCATCCTTGCCAATTATCGCAATCCTAGTAGTCACGTTTCGTTTGAGAAAGAATGCTTTAAGCAAAATATCCTCTTTCTCTCTTCTTCCTTCTATTTTTCGTTCTATCTCAGATATTCATGATTTTTTTTCGTCAGTCTTAAATAAAAAAGAAATCCATATAAAGAGAGCAAGCAAGTCATTCCCCACATATTAATATTACAGTAATAAAACAACTCAACAACACGCTCTTTATGTTCCACATCATAGAACAAAACTGGTTCTCGTTCAACATTACAAGCCTTATGAGTATATTTCACAACATCTGGACGTCGACTAAGAGAGCTATTTTCATTAATGCGTCGAGAATTTATACGTGACCAGAATTACTATAAATATATTTGCTGTTCTCTTGTTCCCTTATTGTGGAAATGCCTTCGACTAACCACGATTTTAACATTGATTTATCAATGAAACTGAAAGGAATGAACAGTTTTAAAGATCATTCGAGGTAAAAATTTTGAAATTATATTTCAATATATTTGAAATGAACTAATGTTTAATGTATAAAATGACGTCACTGCATAATAAGGCTGTAATTCACCTCGTAACATTTCTATGTCTCTATTTTGTTCATAACTTAAACTCCTATACGATAATGGTGTCTTTTATAATATTATTATCTTTTTGTTTCTATTATTCAAGTCTTTACTCATTGTAGATATAATATTAACAGAAATAATAAACTCAAGTTCCATTCAAATAAAGACATTTTGAGTTTTATATACATAGTTTTAAATACGTCGTACTCAAATTTAATTTCTTTATTTGTTAAAGACAATGTTGATGTCAATTAGTTGTAACTTATGTGCAGTTTTTAATGTCATACAAGTTATCACTTATTTGGAGTTTAAAAAACTTTGTTAAATTTAAAAAAATCGTAACAAGTTTTTATAAACCTTCTATAGATCGTCTTCATTTTAAAAAAATATTGTACTATGAAATATAACAAGTGATACGGTTGATAAATATTCATCATAATAAATAACTCTTCAAAACTATTTGTTTCATAATTTAAAATTAATTAAATGTGTTGATTTTGATTACTATATAGACCGACTTTTCACGTGATACTTGTCAGTTTATCACAACAGGTATAACTGTTTCGTATCAGTATATATGTAATTAAATATTTTGAAAACCAGATTTATAATGTTATTAAATCTGCTTGGTCTTGTAGGTAGACGAATAAATATTTTAAGTTATACAAAATGGATTCATTCATATCGGCCAATTATTCCAAGAACTAACCACAACACAGCAAATATTTTAAACAAAAAAAATTTATGATGTAGTAATTTTTATCAACTTGTATTTAATATATGACATCTATCATATCTCACAGATGTTTCTGATTTGTGTCTACAAAACTCCATAAACTCTCATTATCCATACATATCAATATACAGATAAAATTTTATGGAGAATTGACTTGAAATATTGAAAGTGGCGCCGCGCCAATATAATCGACCAGCAGATATGTTTAAGAGGCATGTTACATTCTAATATGTATCATATTACAATCTGATTACGCTTGTTGATATCTTTTTATTACAAATAATTTATTATAGACGAGAAATTACCGATATTTTGATATAAAGGTTGCCCCGAGTAACGAACGTTAAGCAGTAAAATCGTGTTATTTTAAATAATCACAACTTAATTTATATTATTATTTTAGTCTTAAACTGAAAGAAAATTCTCAAGAACTATCTGTGTTTAAGTAATTATCAATTTTGTTTTATTAATTAGATGATATAGTCTTTCAAAAATGGGTATTAATATGAATGGCGTGTGTCATTGGTGTTAGACATCCGAGCTACTGTATTGACTGGCTGTGTTCAGACGTTCAGGTCATATAGGCGAAGGAATATGTGCAGACACCGTGTACTCTCTCGCCTCCATGACCTGAGGGCCTGGGCTGATACATCAGGGATAATGGAGATGGAAGACGCCGCTGAAATAACTTCCAACACACGGGCCATAACATTAGTCATTTAAAAGTTACGTTCAATGAAATGTTAGTAAGACTATTTCATCTATATCTGACGTTCTCTCCTTATGAGTTTATTTAAATTTTTATTTATTATTTCCTTTATAAGTTCACTAGCTTTCCCCACGACTTTGTCCGTTTTAGTTTCATGATTAGAAATATATAGCTGACCGGGCCAACTGTTTCGATTTAGAGGCAGTAAATGAACAGATTTTGGATTTAATTAGCAATTATTTTTTTTTGTGGAACTAATTCAAAATTATCTTATGTCCTTCTCCTGATTTCAACCTACCTCTTCACAAATTTCCAGCAAAGTCCATACAGCCGTTGTTGCCTACTTTTATACATATATATTTAGTATATAAGACATTAATTTTGTCTATGCACATAATATAAATGCAGACGTTCTAAATATTTTTCATACATTATACATGTGATGTCCAAAGATATATTTCGTTTGTTTGTCCCTGCTTGATCTATGTTAGCGAGTTACACAAATAAGACTTATCGTTGGACGGCTTCAACGACGCTATCCTTATAAAATATAAAGTAAGGCTTTAATATTATAAACCGCTTATAAGAAAAGAAGACGCTATGAAAATAATTTCATTTAATACAACATTTTGAATCAGATCGTACTGTCAATATATTTACTTTAATTTTTGTTTTAACTGATTTTCTCATTCTTTAAAAAACAATTGTAATAATACTCAATACTCAGTTAGTCAGTTTTAATATCACTCTAAATTAAATTTATTTATTAATATTCACGTTTTAATAAATAATATAATTAAATAACAAGTATTCAAAATTGAAACAGTATCATACACGAAATACTAATCTTCCATACATCGGATGATAGAGAGAGCCACTAGTCGATTGAATTAAATACAATAATATATTTTTAATTAGTATATATATACAGTCAAATATTTTTCAAACATTGCTACGATTTTAATTTTCTTAATTACAACATAAAGTTACCATCTCTCATACTGCACGTCACCACAAACATTTATCACATTGATTCCCCTCCATTACTTTCTTTTAGACGTTGCCAGCCAATTTCATAAATGACCAGATATCATGTCTACGACATTCTTCATAGCGAGTGTACGACACCTATTTGTGACAAGTGCCAGTGTCAGAGACAACGTTTCTTTTGACGTGTGAATTACGAAAAATGTTCCCGTTAGATTCCGTTTTTATATACCTATAATTATTTTGAGTCGATTCCAAGATATCACTTGAAATTTTGTGATATATCTGAACGATGATTCTTAGAGTAATCCCAATTTGACATCGCTGTTTGCTGAGTGTTAATTGTAACTCAGTCAAGTTGATGAAACAAACAAAATAATGTTTACATATCTAAAGCTTCAATATCGTTTACATACACGTTACTTGTACATACATTAATATATGTTATGTACATAGAAGTATATTTATAATTATTATTCATACATAATTCTTTTTACCGATATCTTTAATTCTCGTAAGGGATATTTAATTAGATTAGTCAGAATAATCAAATTAAATTAAGTTCCTGTTTTAGGAGTTTCGAAAGTTAGTGAACAGATCGTTATATCATTTTAAAATATTAATTCTTTCAAGTACTCTAATAGAAATTACAATCCTATTTTCGTGAAACATATTGAAGAGGTATTAGCTATTACTAAGTAAGTAGTCTTCCACAGCAAAGTACCAAATAATAATCTGAGTACTGTTTTCCCAATCGAATTGGGCAGTCAAATTAGAGGAAAGTTTGATACTGGAAGAAGAATAATGGATTACTGTAATTAGGTTATTCCAATCAATATATCTTTGATTTTCTTGCTTTATTATAGAATTTTATAATTATTTTTTAACTAAAACTTCTTCTGTTACAAAAAAATAAGTGAATAAGAAATCATTACAAATGTTCAGATATATCGCTATATTCTCGACAAATTCCTTTAATTACAATAGAAGTTCTTTTCTGTTTTTATACAACTATAATTTTTACTATTTATATAATTAAAGAATATTTCAAATGAATAATAATAACAAATTAAATGAATCTATATCATGATTCAAGTTCATTCGTCGAGTTATTTTAAAGCCGGGCAACCGAATTTGCATTTATGTAAGAAGGGCCAATTTGGTCGGTATTCGGGAGCAATTTTAATAAATTACATTTAGTAGCAGTCCTGCTCAATACCTTTTCATTTGGTAATTGAATCGAGAATTGAATATTAAAATTGTAACTTAACTCACAATGAAAATATATTATTTTGAAATTTTAACCTTGACTAGTTCGGTTTAAAGACACTTTAATGACATAGTCGTTTTACTCAAATTTGCTTGAAGAATATACGTTGCTTAATAATTTAAAACAGCTTAACAGAGTTAACTTCATTTAAAATTTAACTGAAAAACATATTCTCATCTTAAGTCAATCATTTTACGTATTCGTATGCTTTGGTAAACATCTATTGATACATTTCTGTAAACAGTTGATTACTATGATAATATAAAACATAATTCTATGTAAACAAGCCACTTTATTAACTAAAAACTTAACCCGGGGAGGCTTTTACATAAAAATGGTTCAATAATCTGTAAGGTTCAAGAAACGTGTCGTGGGATTACAAAAGGAGAGCTCCGTTAGCCTTGAACTCTCGACTTCAACATTATGTACACTAAGATGAGAAGAAGTCCCGGTTGAATATATATAACATCATCCTTCAAAAGGATTTTCTTTTCAATTAAATACAATAGTTTTCATAAAAAATATATCTCTTCAACAAATATTTTCTATTCTCTCGACTGACGTCTGTAAATAAGAAATTAATTACTGTATAAGCTATTTTAAAATATACAAACATTATTAAATGTTGCATATTTTTTCCACTCTTTGTTTTCTCTTTACTTATGATATCTTATTTATTTTCTTTGCTCAACAGCGAACAGCGGCATGTCTATTATTATAAATGGAATTTATTAAAGCTAGTTTTATATTACCTAGAATTAAAAGTTAAACAAAATAATAGTACGTTCGTGTTATATTTATTATAAAGGTTTACGGTACTCGTCAGTTTCTTGAGAAAACTGAATAACATTTGAGCTTAAATAGCATACTATAATATTTAACGTCTTGTTTTTTCTTTTGTACAATTATGCTTCAATTTAAAGTTACAAAATAGAGACTATATACATATATACGTAAGCGGGTGTATATGTGAGTGTGTGTGTGTATCAATTAATTTTGTATTTTTTTAGAATTCCTTATCCAAATTCATCTCAACACAGTTATATAAGTATTTATGCCTACTGTCAAAAAACTGCAAATCAATTTATGGAAAACTTAAACAAAATACTGCCGAAAAATACCATACAACACCTAAAGAAAGAAACGTATCCAGTATATTATTATACAAGTTAAGGTAAGAGCAGATTATAATTGAAATGATGAAAATATAAGTGGAATTATTTCTCTCGTATTTCAAACATTTAACTTTTGATATTTCCGTATTTTAATGTTGATATCGGTATAGCGATTGACAGTTTCGACAACTTTTCATTGTAATCCTATCACTGCGGGAAATATATTCCCTGTAACCGACTTTGAAAATAGAGTATAATGCTTGTTAGTTTTTATTGTGAGCGCGTACATTTTACTTGTTGATAGATATGAAAACCGATAAACTAATTTCAGTTTTAAACTGAACACGACGAACTAATTTTATTTGGATATGAAAAAGGATTCACAAAACTGTTTATAAATTTCCACTAAATAAGATTTTTATTCAAATATTTTCAGAGTAGTCGTATTTTGTTACACATACATTTGATATGATTTGATACACTATATATTTTGTATTGAAAAACTGACTACCAGTTTTGTTTTTAAAACTACATCGTTAGTAGACAGAATAATATTTAATGATAATCAGTTAGTTTATAACAGTGTTTAATAGAGTAATGAAAATATTAATCTTCCTTAAAACCAATAAACTCTCTAATCACGTTTCTTAGATTAAATGTTTTAGTTATTTGTCGCCTTCGTTGCCTTCTGTTTTTATTAGGTCTTATTGCTTTTCTAGGATCAAGCTACTCCGGCCGGACTACGGTCATCTATTAAAAAATAATGCAATTGATTCCATTGTCCTATTAAATTCTATATCTATCACTGCAATACAATTACTTCTTATGGTTATAATACTCAAAGCTATTTAACTTTGTGATGATTTTCAAACTCAACTTCAAACTGTATTTTAGTTTTTCCGTTCATTCTCTGTTAAAGATTCTCAGAATATAAACGGTTTATTTATTGCTTTTCGTTTGTATATCCCTTTTCATGTGAAAACTTGCTGTTACTTTAAAACTGAAATACTTTTATTAATAGTAATGAATACTTATTTATTATAAAACTATGTCGCTTCAGAGCTTCGATCAAAATAATATGATTTATTCCATTTTATCATTTATCAACCTTATTATTGTTGAAATGTATCTGATATATTTTCTTGGGACTATAATTGAGAATAAGATTTCTTTCTTTTAATATTACGTAAACAACGAAGTGGTCAAAATTTTCATTATAATATTTCTATAAAATTAACATGCTCACATTTATGGGAACACACACACACACACACAGACACAAACACACACACACAGCCATGTACATATGTGTGTGTTTGTATACATGTTTATTGTTTTGCTGTAAGGTACATATTCGCTCGGCAACACCGCCGTGATTACGTAAAGATCCGTGATGTAATTTGCGGAGCCAATTTAAAATATAAATCGCGTCTCCTAAATCCCATACTTATTTCGGATACTTTTTATGGCGGCATTATATTTTCAAGATCATTCGTAGCCGACATATTTATTTGCGAAATCGGTATAATAATTTTATTGAATCAAAATTGAACTGTATTCTAATTGCAAAGAAATTAATTACTTTTTATTAAGAACTGATAGATCATGATTATTATGTTTAAATTGCAAATGTTACTTTTGA